GTACAACCCTACCCTTGTTTGTTGTTCCAAAATGCAATGCCTTGCATTTATCCAGATTGAACTCCATCTGTCATTTTGCATCCACTGACATATTTGAGCAAGATCCCTTTGTAATCTTAGAAAACCTTCTTCACTATCTACGATGTCACCAGTTTTAGTGTTGTCTGCAATCTTATTCATCACGCCTTCTATAGTCTCATCCAAATCATTTATATAAATGACAAACAAAAGAGGACCCAGAACTGATCCCTGTGGAACACCACTGGTCACAGGCCTTCAGTCCAAAAAGCAGCCGTCCACCATTACTCTCTGTCTCCTGCCGTTTAGCCAGTTGGCAAGCTCACCCTGAATCCCATGTGACCTAACTTTACTAATCAGTCTATCAAGTGGAACCTTGTTAAAGGCTTTACTGAAATCTAAGTAAACTATGTCTATCCTCATCAATCTTTTTAGTGAGATATGATTTTCCTCACACAAAATCATGCAAACTATCTCTAATCAATTTTTGCCTCTCTATCCTATCTTTTATCATCACCTCCAACAATTTTCCCACAACCGAAGTCAGACTCAAAGGTCTATAGTTTCCAGTTTCTCCTTACAACCTTTCTTAAACAAAGATACAACATTAGCCACTCTCCAGTCATCAGGCACCTCACCCATAGTCACAGGTGATGTAAATATTTCTGCAAGGCATCTCACAATTTCCTCCCTTACTTCCCACAACATTCTGCGATATATTGGATCAGGTCCTACAGATATATCCACCTTTATATTCTCTAAGACTTCCTGAAATTCCTCTTCTGTAATATGACCTGTTTTTAAAACATCAAAATCAATATGACTTTCCATTTCTTTCTCCACAGTAAAAACTGACATGAAATATTCATTTAGTTTCTCCCCTACCTCCTGAGGTTCAACTCAACGATGACCTCCTTGATCTTTAAGAGGACCTCCCCTCTTTCTAGTTATCCTCTTGCTCTTAATGTATTTGTAGAATCTCTTTGGATTATCCTTAACCTTATCTGCCAATGCTATCTCATAAACCCTCTTTGCCTTCCTGATTTCTTTCTTAAGAATATCCCTACATGCTTTATATTGATTCAGAGATTCAATTGAACAAAGTTGTCTATATCTAAAATAAGATCCTCTTTTATTCTTGACTAGAACCTCAATATATTCATTCATCCTTTGTTCCTTAATCTTAGCAGCCTTATCCTTCACTCTCACAGGAACATGGATTGAGTGCTGATTAACAGATATGAGTACAGGAGATCTTAGCCTTGACTGGTCTGACAATGATTTCTCTGCTGCAGGATCTTTTTATAGAGTGATACAGCACAGAAACAGACCCTTTGTTCCAACCAGTCCATACCAACCATAATCTCAAACTAAACTCGTGCCAAGTGTTTGCGATGGGTCCATATGCCTCCAAAATGTTCTTATTCATGCACTTAACTGTAAGTCAATTCTGAGTATAAAAGAACTAAAAATGAATCAAAATAAAAATCTTATACTACTGAAATGTAACAACTGTAAGAAATCTAGAATTAAACCTAGAAATAAGCCTGAATCTCAGGAGCAGCTGCAAATTCCACACTACTTCCAGTACACAATTTTAGAATTTCTTTTTTCTTTTCAACATCCCTCCAGCTGGGTGCTGTTCAGTCTAAAAGCCATCTGGGGTAACACTTTCTCACACAAAAGACAGACAAACAAACATGGTTAAGGGATTAAAAAAAAACAAGACTGGCCAGATTACTTCAGTGGTGTTCATGATGCATTGTTCCACAGGCATAGATGTTGTTTTCTTGGTTGATTTTTCTGAAGATGTCCATCAGGGTTACTTTTCCAGTTTGCTCAGATAAAGGCAGCAATAACAGTACAGTACAGGAACAGGCCCTTCAGCCCACCAAGCCTGCACCAGCATGTGGTGTCTTTATAAACTCAAAACCTTTCCCTCTACATGGTCCATATTCCTCTATTCCCTGCCAATCATGCATCTGTCAAGATACCTCTTAAACATTACCATTGCATCTTTCTCCACCAATTCCTCTGGCTGTGCAGTCCAGGTACTTACCACCCCCGTGTAAAAAAACTTACCACTTACATCATCTCTAAATTTACCCCTCTTTGCCTAAGTTCCCTACAAGTTGACATTTCTACCCTGAGAAAAAGACTATCGAGTCCCCTAATAATTTTAAAAGCTTCTATCAGGTTACCGCTCAGCCTTTGGCATTCAAGTGGAAAGAAACCAAGTTTGTCCAATCTCTTCTCATTGCTAATACCCTCTAAAGCAGGCAGCATTCTGGTAAACCATTTCTGTACTCTCTCCAAAGTGACCACGACCTTCTGGTAATGTGTGCAATATTCCAAAAGTGGCCTAAATAAAATTCAATAGAGCTGCAACATGACGTACCTATTTTTATACTCTGTGTCCCAACCGATGAAGGCAAACATACCATATGCCTTCTTGACCAGCTTATCCACTTGTGTTGCCACTTTCAGGGAACTGTGTAACTATGTGCCTAGATCCTCCTGTATGTTGATATCACTAAGGGTTGTGCCCATTTACTGTGGATAATTCTGAATTAACCTGTTCACCTCTGAAGTGGTTGGGACTTGAACCTGGGCCTCTTGGCTCAAAGGTAGGGACACTGCCATTGCACCTTAGCTCTTCCAATGCATCACTTCGCATCTGTCTGGATTAAACTCCATCTGACATTTCTCTGCCCAAGTCTCCAGCCTTTCTATATCCTGCTTTATCCTTTGGCAATCCTCCTCACTATCCACAGCTCTCCAATCTGTACAATTTATAGTACTTATAACATAGTTTTCTATTCTCTGAGGTTCCAAGAACAGCTCATGGGATGTTAGACAGGGAACTTTCAAATTTGCATGCATGTTATAGCATCAGCAGCCAGATTCCATTTTTTTTTCAGAAAACAGTCCAAAACCCAATTCAAACTCTGACCACTCCCTGTTAGACTGACTCTCTCTTCCACAATCTCCCATTCAGCATCTGCTGCCTGCTCGAACATAAAGTTTTTTCCAGATTTGTTAGAGCCATTTCTCAGATACCGACCTCATTAATAGCCAACTTTTAGTATCTGCTTAAACATAATGCTTGTCCCCAATGGCGAAGCATCTGCACAATGTTCAGCACCATTTTCAACTTCTCAGATACTGAAGCAATCCATGTTCAAATGCAGCAAGACATGGATAATATTCAGGTTTGGGCTGACAAGTGGCAAGCCACATTCGCACCACTGAATTCCACAAAATGACCATCTCAATAAGAGAGAATCTAACTGTTGCCTTTTCACATTCAACTGCATTACCTTCGCTAAATCCCTACTTATCCCTACTATCAACATCCTGGGGGTTACCATTGATCAAAAACTGTGGTGGGCTAGCCACATAAATAGTGTGGCTACAGAGCAGGTTAGAGGCTAGGAATCGTGCAGCAAGTGACTCACCTCCAGACTTCACTAGGTGTCCCACCAAATATGAAGCACAGGTCAGGAAAATGATGAAACACTGCCCTGTTGTCTGGAGGAGTGCAGCTCCAACAACACTCAAGAAGTTTTACGCCGTCCATTGGCACTGGGTCCACAAATATTCACTCCGTCAATTATAGATGCTCTGTAGTGGCATGTGTACCATCTACAAAATGCACTGCAGAAAATTCATCAAAGCTGCTAAGACAGCACCTTCCAAACTCACAATTGCTACTATCCAGCAGGACAAGGGCAGCAGATGCATGGAAACACCATCAACATTGGGTACCCCTCTAAGCCACACACTATCCTGACTTGGAAATGTTTGGCTATGCTTTCAGTATTGCTAGGTTCTAAATAGTGGAACTCTGTTCCTGAAGGGATCCCGGGTCTGCCCTTACCAGTGGACTGTGGCAGTTCAAGGACAACAGGGATGGGCAATAACTGCTGGACTAACCACTGAAGCCTACATCCCAGGCTGAAAATTCTGTGATGAATGTCTCATCCTAAGCCTCCATAAGTGTCTCTGTCATTGAATAAGGCACAGAGCATGATGGTAGTGTATGCTGTCCGATGGAACATCCTCTACATTTGCAGCTCTAACACTCAAGAAGTCTGATTCTTTGCGTGACAAAGTAGCCAATTTAATGGGTACTCCCATTTATGACTTGAAACATTTACTCTGTTCATCATTCGCTGCAGTATACTATATCTACAGGTCACTGGAACAATTCACCAAGACTTTTTGGTGGCCCCTTACAAATAAATGTGTGGTGTCTATCAACTTGCACTAGGATAGCAAGTACATGCAAAGATTCTTTTGTTAAATTTCTTTGCCATGTACACTTTCCTACCATAAACATCACTGTTCCTTCATGGTTGCTGGGTCAAGGTCCTGAGTTGTAGGAGAGTTATCCTTACAGAGTACAAGTAGTTCTTGAAGAATGCTCGGAATTCCCAATTCATGGTCACTTAGTGATGCTTGTTTTTGAAAAAGTTGAAAGAGTACTATGCAAAAGTATAGAACCAGCTACGTTGAATCCTCTTCATTCACTTTGTGATTTAAAGTAATCAGTTTTTGAATGGATCTCCTATCAGTGTGACAGTGCTGTGATGTTGACATTCCTTATATTTGTGTCATTCAGGCATATTAAATACGTTAATGACAAGATAAACATGTTGATGGATTAGCTTCAGGTGTTGAAATGAAAACAATGTACTGGAGAAACTCAAAAAGTATGACAGCATTTTTCGCTGAGAAATAGCTAACGTTTCAAGTCCAATGGCTTTTCTTCGGAACTCAGGTGCCAGAACTGCTGGGTCTCTCCAGCACTCTTTTTATTTCGATTCTCCAGAATCCACAGTGTTTTGCTTTTATTCACCTTGTGTTGACCCTGACCTTCCAGGACTACAACTCCCAGGAGACCTCGCTGCACGTCTCCGCTCGCGGCCCCACCTTCCATTAAAGCCGGCCGTGATTGGGTGGTGAAGCTGCTAGCCTCTGATTGGGTGGGTGATCCTGCTCAAGGTGAAGGTGGTCGTTTGCGTGATGGCGGTGGCTCGTTTCGTGTTGGTGACTAGCGGACGGCTTCAGCGAGGGGACATTGTGCCCCGGCTGCTGGTGAGGAGTCAGAGGCGGGTTATTTCAGAGGTGGGCGATGGCTGTGAGGGTGAGATGTGTAAGGTCAGTGGACGGAGATGAGCGGGGGGTCCAGCCTCTGAAGGGAGCTGCCGCCACATTGAGCTCTGAAACACTGCAGATTGTGTAAGGCCCAAGGGGCTGGAGAGCACAGGATCCCGGGGGTGTGGGGTCACAACACAGTATTGGTGACATGTCACTCTGAGGGAATGTGAGCGAGACTTGTCCACTCTCCGACTGGTTCGCGAATAGCGGGTACTCCATATGAAGACCTGGAGAGAAGTTGCATTGAGTTTAAAGGCAAAACTGCAAGCATTTAAATCAGTGACGGTGGCCGGCAGTTCAGCTTCTCAATCGGAACTGACTGACGGATAAACTGCGGCAACTCTAAAATTAAAACATGAAGGAATCGCAAGAAATATGTTGTTAGACAGGGACGAGCAGTTACCTCCTCACTTCATCCCCAGCCCACGTCCTCCCCGAAACTACTTATGAGACAAGGAAGGCTGTCACTTTGGAGAGACTTCCAGCAGTCAGTTATCTTCCAGTTGTTTCAGGATTCTTTTGGATGGCTCGATGCAGTGGTTTTATTTTCCTTGTAATTTTCCACATATGATCATGGTTTTGTTGTGGGAATGGACATGATCAGAGCTATACATTCCACAACGAGGAACCACAGTTATAAAGGTTCCTGTTTATTCCTGTTAGAGTATATCTTCATGGATGTTTGTGGGTCCTTTGGCATCTTAATAAACAGCAATCATTTGTGTGATCCTAGATTGCAGCTGTCATCAGCTTTTCAACAATAAGTAACACATTTAGATTTAATCTTTCATGATATCCACATTCATGCATTTTCTAGTAGGGGATCACGGGATAGAGTTGAAAAACTTTGAAATTGCACTGCCTTTCCCTTTCCTACCAAATATATGACTAATTTTACCAGCTAACTCAGAATTGAGTAGGAGTTGAACCTAGGGTCTTCTATTACAAATGGTTTCAACCGTACACTGCAATTAACCAAGGAAATTTGATTAAATTTAAAAATATGTTTGTTTTTAGCCTTTTGATTTTCTTAACATTGTGTTGGCATGTGATATGAAGTTTTTGACACAAACATTATAAATGTGAGGTTTAGGTTTATATCTGGAACAGAAGTCATATTACTTTGCAATGTGGATCACAGAGTCCAAATATCTGACTAAGCATGGTGAAGTAATAACCCATGGAATTGAGCAAACAGGTCACTTTTAGTCAGAAATATTTATCTTTTCGTGTGCCAGACCAGCGCTTTCTTATTTCTTGTTTACATTTACTATTTTGGGATTTGAACACATTCCTGTGTCAATATTCATTCTGAAGTTGCTAGCGTCTAGCTGCTTTTACTTTTTCCCACATGAGGAGCATATATTAATCTCTTTTATACCAGATATTTTCATAATTGGCATCAGTGTATTTATTGGTGTCTACTTTGTTTGAAATTCTTCAAACTATTTTATAAATGAGAGTTCAACAAATTTTACTTCTCAACACATCTGCATACATACTGACAAAAATTTGAATTGGCCTAATTCAATATTGACTGGCTGCAGGCAATAACAATTGATTTGTTTGATCAGATAAAAAATATATTTAGAAGCAGATGTCACTTTTTTTTTGAGGCTTCAGTCAAAATTTGGTAATGATTTTGGATTAAGCAATAAAGTTTCCATATTTAATTTGGTTTTGAAATCTGTCCTCCTACTCAAAAGGTTAAGCCAGGAATGGTCATCGATTGCAGATTTTAGACTAAATGTAAATAAACGTGTAACCTTTTTGAGTTTGGACTTTGAGACACTGTCGGCCAGTAACCCATTAGACTGAATAACACAAAACACCTGGCCTTCTGGCTCCCTTTGTCAATCAAAAATTACAATTGGTATATTTTAAATTCTAAGACTAAAATTAACTTTTTTGTTTGATGGAATACGTTATGTGGTCTTCCTGTACTGTTCTTAATATGTTATGTCATTTTCACCTTTGTTTTCTTCAATATACTGCAATGTGTTTTATTCCAGCTTGCAAAATGTAAACATCGAGGATATTCCTCTGGACCCACGTTGAATGTAAGTACAATGTATTTCAGAACTTCTCATGCTTAGTGCGGTCTGTGCTAATGAGAGTTTTATAGATTATATTTTACCAGCAATATACACTATGGACCATTATTTAAAATTAAATGTCCACAAACTGACACCCAAAAAGAAAGTGTTGACAGTCCCAAATAAAAACATATTCTGTGTGGGCACAGCCTTACCAGTGGCTTTGGGGTTTTAAATGATGCTGAACATTGTGCGTTCTGGAGCGAGCATCCCTCTAATGATGGAGTGAATCATCAATGAAGCAGCTGAAGGTGATTTTGGCCAGGACTGTACTGGGAGGATCTACTGTAGTGATGTTGTGGGTCTGATGTTTGGTGTCCAACAGCCATGACAATCTTCTTTGTGTTAGGTGGAACTCCAACAGGTAGAGAGTTTTGCCTTTGGCTCAAGCTGACTTCAGTTTTGCCAGGGCTCCTTGATGTCATGCTTTTTCAAATACGGTCTTATTGGCAAGGGCAATCGGTCTCACCTTGCTTTTTGAATTCAGCTCTTCTATCGTGTTTGGATTTAGGCAGTAATGTGACCAGAAGCTGAGTGGTCCTGGCAGATTCCATATTGAACATTATTGAACAGCTTAGTAGGTATCACTTAGAGTCATAGAGTTGTACAGCACGGAAACAGACACTTCAGTCCAACTCGGTCATGCTGATCAGCCATCCTAAATTAATTTCGTCCCACTGCCAGCATTTGGCCTGTATCCCTCTGAACCCTGCCTATTCATATACTTATCCAGATGCCTTTTAAATGTGTAATTGTACCTACCTCCACCACTTCCTCTGGCAGCTCATTCTGTACATGCACCACCCTCTGCGTGAAAAAGTTGCCCCTTGGGTCCCTTTTAAATATTCCCCTCTCACCTTAAACCTATGCCCTCTAGTTTTGGACTCCTGGGAAAAAGACCTTGTCTTTTAACCCTATCCATGCCCCTCATGATTTTATAAACATCTAAAAGGTCAATGCTCCAGGGAAAACAGCCCCAATCTATCAGCCTCTCCCTAAGCTGAAACCCTCCAACTCCAGCAACATTCTTTCAAATCTTTTCTCCACCCTCTCAAGTTTAACAACATCTTTCCTATAGCAGGGAGACCAGAATTGAATGCAGTATTCCAAAAGTGGCCTAACCAATGTCCTGTACGACTGCACATGACATCCCAACTCCTATACTCAATGCACTGATCAGTAAAGGCAAGTAAACGCTGCCTTCATTACCCTACTTACCTGTGACTCCACCTTCAAGGATACTGTTGACAAAGCTTTCATTACTTTGCTAATGACTGAGAGTAGGTTGATTGACTAATTTGCATTTGTCCCATATCTTGCAGGCAGGACATAGCTGAGCGATTTTCTACATTGTTGTGCAGATCCCTGTGTTGTAGCTGTAGTAGAAAAGTTTGCTAGAGGCTAATTGTATACCTGTTCTGCAAGTTTATTAATGTCTTGTAATTTAATTCATTTCCAGTGTTGTCTATCTCTGTCCCTTGCAATTTGATGGCATCTGCAAACTTAGGAATTGTATTTTTGATTTGAAATTCTAAATCGTTAATGGCAATTATCTCCCACTCCGAATTGGGTTCTCTTTACCCAATTTACTGTTTTCTTAAAGTCACTGAGTTGTATATTTGGCTACTTATTTCTATATGGTACTTCATCAAAGCTTTTTGGAAAGCAAGATAAATTAGGTCTAATGCATTATTCATATTCACTGTAAATTTCTGATTTTGATAAAATACTTTCTAACATACTTGATATGTTAAAGTCTACCTCATTTAGAATTTGAATTACAAACGAACATGCATTTTAATGTTTTTACAATAGGAAGTGGTCATTGCAAGTGCAGCCAGAACCCCTGTTGGTTCATTTAAAGGATGTCTTTCCTCATTAACAGCCACACAGCTTGGTTCAATTTCAATAAGAGCTGCCATCGAAAGAGCAGGTATGAGTGTATGTTCTGTACTTTACTGATGTAAAAACATTTCCTTAGCTTTAAGGAATTTTTAAGAAAGCTTAAAGAAAAAAAACATGCTACTAAATAAAACTGAAAATACATTTTTGAAGTAAATTGCTAAGATAAAATGGAAAACTTTATAATGACAAACTGGAAGAACAAAATTGCGATGTATTGTTTTTAAAAAAAGTGACTTTTAAATATAATTGGCATTAGTTTGTTAGAGACGTGGGAAGGAGGTAAATTAAACTCTTATTTTTATCATCTTCTGTCCATGGACAGAAGTGTTTAAATTTTTGTTTGAAACAAGCTGTCGTAGGTTTCTTCCAAATCTTTGGAGTCCAACGTTTAAGTGACCCACGACAAACTCTTTTTCAGGTTAAATCAAAAGCATGGTTTATCCATTCATTCAAACCTTGGGATGATTGATACAACATAATTAATATATATGCAGTACAAGGAAGATTTAAAAAATTTGCAATTGAGAATAATTTAAGCCAAAGATATGCATATTAATTTGCATTATTGTTAAAGTCCATATAGTGTTACAGAATTTTTGCATAATTAGTGATGACACAGCAGGGATAGGTCTGCTCGCCAAGATTTCACTTTTTCCAGAGAAACGAGGTTTTGAGGAGCTGTACTTGAGCTTGAGGCTTATTGTTGGTCCGGAGTCTGGCTGTTCTGTTACTGCCTTGTTAGATCCTTACTAGACTCCAGGAAAACTGGTTTAGAAATCAAAATAAACTTTTCATAGACCAGAAGAAATTTAGTTTGTTGTGGGCACATTAATCCATTTCAATTTACCAATTACTTTCTAACCCTTGCCCAACAATCCATTGTTCATCCCATGAGCTAAATGAGGCTACAAAGTGTAGAGCTGGATGATCACAGCAGGCCAAGCAGCATCAGAGGGGCAGGAAAGCTGACGTTTCGGATCTAGACCCTTCTTCAGAAACAGAGATAGTAGGAACTGCAGATGCTGGAGAATCCGAGACAACAAGGTGCAGGGCTGGATGAACACAGCAGGCCAAGCAGCATCATAGGAGCAGAGAGGCTGACGTTTCGGGCCTAGACCCTTCTTCAGAAACGTCAGCTTTCCTGCTGCTCCGATGCTGCTTGGCCTGCTGTGTTCATCCAGCTCTACACCTTGTTGTCTCAGATTCTCCAGCATCGGCAGTTCCTACTATCTCTGCAGCTAAATGAGGCTGTTAGCTCTTCTACAAGATCAGAGGTTTGATGAGTCTCCCTTTATCAGTCCTTGCTGGAAAGGCAACCTTTTCATTTTTTTTTCCTGATTGTTGACTATAATGTCTAAACGATGAAAAGGTGAGGTTCCAGGAGAGTGGTGTTAAAGCTCAATTCTGATGCAATTTTACAGAATTTTAGTTAGCTTGCAACGTGTTTTATGATATTTTACAAAAATATGCCTTTTAAGACAACTTAACCTTTTTCAAATTTGTGGAGCTGAGGAGTTCCTTAAAATTCCTTACTGTATATCACTATCTGATATGATTGCAGACTCCACTGAATAATTTCTTTTCAAGTGTATCGCTTTTTCAAGCAAAAAGGTAGAAGATATTGGCAAAGTTTCATCTTACGCAAGAGAAAACAAGTTCTGAGCTGAAGAGTATTTTTACATTGTAATTTCTGAAATTGTTTACCTTGGCTCTTGTAAAATGTTTTCATGATATCTGGTGGCGACTTTGATTCTACAACAAATTGTAGCAGAACCCCAATGCATACTAAGTAATTTGCACAATGAGAGTATTGACTTGAATATGTGCAAAATTGCAGCATAGTGGTATAGTGTTTGTCGAAACTTCATTACCTATCTTAGCCTAATTACCTATAGTAAGATTCAAGTGAGAGACTTTCATAAATGACATTTGATTCCAATAAGCATAACATGAAACAAATGCTTTTGGATACATGTATAAAACCTTTAATAGTTTCTAGGCAGAAGCAACATCGTGCTTACATTTGGAGAAACCTTGTACTAATTTGCAACAATTTTTTGATTGAATATTTTATATCAATTAATTTCATTGTATCAGTTCAATATCACTTCAGTACCCATGTGGATTTTCAAATGTTAGTATGGTGTGACTGTGGTGTTTTTAAATTCTTTAGTTCTAAAAGTACACTTTTCCATTTTGTTAATTTTTTAAAGATGGGCAAGTGCATAAAACATTGCTTTATTCTCCAGAATATAAGTATTGATTTGTAGGATTGGCGGACCAGAGAGTTGTTGGAAATGATTCATCTAATTTTTTTCTTATCTTTGTTTAATGAATGTTTGGCTTTCCATTGAGATTTCTACATTGGCAGCGGAGCGAAGGAAAGTACATTTGGATTGTTAATCTACTGCAGTAACATTAATTCATATCTCTGTAGACCAGATGGTAGGAAGAGTTCTATCGTTGAAATCTTCGATATTGCTATGTTTATTTTATACAAATGTTTAAGTTAGTTGATTATTTGTGCAGCAAAATCTGATGCATAATATTAATATATTGGTTCAATTGACAGGGATTCCTCCAGAGGAAGTGAAAGAAGTGTACATGGGCAATGTTTTACAAGCTGGGGAAGGGCAAGCTCCTGCTCGACAATCTGCCCTTGGTGCAGGTAGTATATTGCTGTTCATATATCTGGATAGCATAAGAACATAGAGCAGATTTTTGGATTGTGCCATAAATAAAACTCTGTCTATAGCTGTCTTAGTTAAGTTTAAGAAAAAGACATAATTTTAAAAGTTCTGAATGATTTTTGATTGCTTGTTAGAAAATGTATTTTCCCTTCATTTTAGGCTTGCCAGTCTCTACACCTGCAACAACTGTCAACAAAGTTTGTGCCTCTGGAATGAAATCAATCATGCTGGCAGCACAAAGTCTTATGTGTGGACATCAGGTACTTTTGTTTATTGAAAATGTGTAAATTTATTTATTGTTTTCTTATTGCTAATTGTTTATTTGGTTTTGTCATAGATAATTGTTCTTAATCTGCATGCATCCAAGTTGAAAAGCTAGTCAATTTTTTTTGACTGGAAGATAGGAAAACCAGGACTGAAATTAAACATTGCAGTATATATTACTTAGGAAAGATGAGGTAAAAAGGGAGGTGGATTAGCTGGACATCCTAGGGATAATAAAATGTCACTAGAAATAAAGGTCACTGCAATCTGCAAGACAAAAACAAAATCCACGTCAAATGAGATAAGATAGCAAACGATCAATTGCTTCAGTAGATAGTGTCTTCAAACTGCCTAAGAGAAACGGTGCAAGAAATATACAGACAAATTAGAGTATCCAGCATAAATCGTAGAATAAATGTCATGGAGTATTTTTGACTGTCCTGATATTAATCGAAAAGAAGAGACAAGTATAGGGGATAAGGATATGAAGTTCCTACAATGTGTTTATGACTCCTTTTTGACCCTCTAGTAAAAGTCACTGCAAGGTACGAGTATCTCGTAATGAAGAATGAACCAGTGTAGAAATAGAAGTAGAGGAACATCAAAATAATATTAACAGCATATAATACTCAAAATTATTTTTATTATTCATTCATGGGATGTGGGTATCACTGACGATGCCAGCATTTGTTGCTCATCCCTAATTGCTCTTTAAAATGTATGGTGAGCCACCTTTGTGAGCTGCTGTAGGTAGGTAAACTCGCTGTGCTGTTAGGAAGTGAGTTCTAGGATTTTGATCTAGCAATGTTGAAGGAACAATGATATGGTTCCAACTCAGGATGGGGAGTGACTTGGAAGGGAACTTGAGGGAGGTGCTGTTCCCATACTTCTACATTGCTTGTTCCTTTTGATGGTGAAGGTTGCGTGCTTAGAAAGTGTTGCTGAAGGACCGTTGGCAAGTTGCTGCACTGCATTTTGTTCCTAGTACAGATTTCTGATGTACATCAATGATAGAGGAAGTCACTGTTTTAGGTGACGGATGGAGTAATAATTGAGTGGACTGCTTTGACCTTGATAGTGTCTAGCTTCTTATTGTGAGATATTATATTATAGGTCTCTTTACCAACCCACTCACAAGCGCTCTATATTTACTCATACTGCATTCTGATTCATTCATAACTCTTTTACTAACCACTCACCAACGCTCCGTTTGCTATACCGCCTTTCTTTCTTTCATTCATTCATAAAACCGCGGTTTTGTAGTACATTTTACTATTACAAGGTAAACTAAATTAAAACATCCCTTCCAACCCATTACTGCTTCTTTACGTTCAATCCTTATCGGCCCATGTTACAGGCAGTGTTTAGACCTGTTTCTATGTCAAAGGCTACCCCTGAATAAGTATTAATATTGTAACCAATTCAGAACAATGCTGTACCTGCTGACATGACTCCATGACTTACCTGAAACTATAGAAAAATAATAATATTAACCAGCCCCTTAGCAACCGTCTCTTGGGACTTTGATAGATTACAGGACAACAAACAAGTTTCTTCCACTAGCATGTAGCTGTTAAGTGCATATTAAATAAGACTGCTACCCCCTTAAAGAAACTTTGTATCAAAACAGCGCTTCCGTGAAACTGCATGAACGAAAGTATAAGAACTATCAAAACCGGCAATAGTAAATAAAATCTCATGATCCAGCTGTGGGAGATCAGTTTAATATCCCCATACTTTTATTTAGTACACACATAATTTCTCGCTTGTTTAGATCATATCGATCTCGTATTTTTACCAACATTACTAACTTTAAAGACAAAAGGACTAACACCTCTTGATTATGCAAACTCCGACCACACAGACATTCCAATCCCATCAGGAGTAACAGCCTGCATTTAGCAAGTGCTTAAACCATCTTCTGCTCCCCCAGGACAGATGTCACACAAACTTGTGTACAATAGATACAACTATGTAACATCCTTGTGCTAAAATTTTAATATATGTAAGAATTGTATGTAAAGAGGCTACTGTAAAACTGTACTTTGGATTCCATTGCTGCCTTGACCTGTGCTACTACAGATGCAGGGAATGGGTGACCACCAGACAGAGCAAGAGAGATAGGCAGGTAGTGCAGGAATCTCCTGTGGCCATTCCCCTGCCATTGTGAGGACCACAAGCTAGGGAAAGTGACTGGTCTTGCCCTGCTGCAGTGACTACAAGGGAGGGACTTGATTGGTGAGTACTGGGTGAGGCAGGTTTGGAATGTCTGTGTGGTCCTCACAACTTCTGGTACTAATTTTTGGCTTGTAATCTGTAAGGGTAGTGCATGGACCAGGAAAGAAGGGCCACAGATAACTGGATTTGATTAACCTTAATATAAAGTACTCTCCAGGGTTAAATTTAAAGAGGTAAACCACGGCAGGAGAGCTGAAAGCCTTGGTTTGCTCCACTTGCTCCATGTGGCAGACTGGGGACAGTTCCAGCCCCCCAGGTCAGCATGTGTGCAGGAAGTGTGTCTAGCTGCAGCCCCTGGAAGCTTGAGTTTCAGAGCTGGAGCGGCGGCTGGGGACACTGTGGAGTATCTGCAAAGCAGAAAGTATCATGGATAGCACATATAGAGAGGTGGTCACTCTGCAGGCAGGAAGGGAATGGGTGATCACCAGACAGAGCAAGAGAGATATGCAGGTAGTGCAGGAATCGCTTGTGGCCGTTCCCCTGCAAAGCAGGTATACCGTTTTGGATACTGTTGAAGGGAATGACCTTGCAGGGGAAAGCAGCAGCACCCAAACTTGTTGCACCAAGGTTGGTTCTGCTGCAGAGGGGAGGGGTAAAAAGTGTGCCAGGGCAATAGTCATAGGGGACTCATTTGTATGGGGAATGGACAGGTGTTTCTGTGGCCTCAAACGAGACTGCAGGATGGAGGCTGCCTCCTTGGCGCTAGGATTAAGGATGTCTTGGAGTGGGTACTGGACATTCTGATAGGGGAAGGTGAACAGTTGTGGTATACATCGGTACAAATGACATAGGTTAAAAAGAAGGGATGAGGTCCTGAAGGCAGAATACAGGGAGCTAGGAAGGAAGTTAAGAAGTTAAGAAATCAGACCTCGGAGGTTAGTGTTCTCATGATTACTACCGATGCCATGTGCTAGTGAGAGGAGAAATGCCAGGCTATACCAGATGAATACGGGGCTGCAAAGATGGTGTCAGGGGGAGGGTTTCAGATTTCTGGGACATTGGGACTGGTTCTGGGGGAGGTGGGACTTGTACAAATTGGATGGGTTACACCTGGGCAGGACTGGGAAAGATGTCCTGGGGGAATGTTTGCTAGAGTGGTTGGGGAGGGGTTAAAATAATATGCCAGGGGGATAAGAACCAACGTAAAGAGTCCGAGAAGAAGGCAGCAAGGATAAAAACAAAACCTAAGAAAGGGAATAAGAAAAGTGATAGGCTGAGAAACCAAGGGCAAGATTCAAACGGGGCTATTGAGAAAAATAAGGAGACAAAGACTGTTAAAAGGTCAAGCATAAAGGCTTTGTGCCTTAAAGCTCAGAACAACTGCAGCAAAGTGGATGAACTAATCGTGCAGATAGATGTGAACGATATGATATAATTGCGATTACGGGGACATGGCTGCATGGTGACCAGGGATGGAAACTATGTCACAGGGTATTCCGTATTTAGGAAGGACAGGCAAAAAGGAAAAGGTAGCCGAGCGGCATTGCTGGTTAAAGAGGAAATTAACACAATAGTGAGAAAGGATATTAGCTCTGGCAATGTGGAGTCTGTATGGGTAGAGTTGAAAAATACCAAGGGGCAAAAAACAATAGTAGGTGTCACCTCTAAACTGCAGTGGTGATGTCGAGAATGGCATTAAACAGGAAATTAGAGATGCATGTGATAAGGGAATATCGGTAATCATAGGTGATTTTAATTTGCACATAGATTGGGCAAATCAAATTTGTCACAGTGCTGTAGAGGAGGAATTCCTGGAGTAGACACGAGATGGTTTTCTTGACCAATATGTGGAATAACCAACTAGACAGTAGGCCATCTTAGACTGGGTGCTGTGTAATGAGAAGAGAATCATTGCCAATCTAGCTGTGTGAGACCCCTTGGGGAAGAGTGACCATAACATGATTAAAAAATTCTATCAAGGTGGTGAGTGAGGTTGTTGATTTGGAGACTAGGGTGCTCAACCTAACTAAAGGAAGCTACGTAGATATGAGATATGAGTTGGCCTTGAAAGATTGAGGAGAGTTACTTAAAGGATATGACAGTGGATAGGCAATGGCAAACGTTCAGGGAACGCATGGGGGAACTGCAACAACTGTTTATTCCTGCCTGTTGCAAAAGCACATTGGGTATGAGGGCCAATCCATGGCTCACAAAGGAAATAAGAAATTGTATCCGATCTAAGGAAGAAACATACAGATTGGCCAAGAAAAATAATAAATCTGAGGATTGGGAGCAGTTTAGAATTCAGCGAAGAAGGACCAAGGGATTGATTAAGAAGGGGAAAACAGTTCGAAAGTAAGCTTGCAGAAAACATGAAGACTGACGCTTAGAGTTTCTATAGGTACGTGAAGAGTAAGAGATTGGTAAAGACAAATGTAGGTCCCCTACAGACAGAAACAGGGGAATGTATAATAAGGGACAAAGAAATGGCTGAGGAACTGAATACATACATTTGGTCTGTCCTCACAAAAGAGGACACAAATCCGATACCAGAATTGTTGGAGGATGCAAGATTTAGTGAGCGGGAAGAAGTGAGGGAGATCAATATTAGTGGAGAAATCGTACTGGGAAATTTGTTGGGATAGAAGGCCAATAAATCCCCATGGCCTGATAACCTACATCCCAGAGTACTTGAGGAAGTAGCTCTAGAAATAGTGGATGCATTGGTCATCTTCCAGGATTCTATAGATTCTGGAGCAGTCTCTGCAGATTGGAGGGTGGCTAATGTCACTCCAATATTCAAAAAGGGAGGTAGAGAGAAAACAGGGAATTATAGACCAGTGAGCCTAATATCGGTAGTGGGGAGAATTCTCGAATCTATTGTCAAGGATTTTATAGCAGAGCATTTAGAAAGCAGTGGCAGGATTACACCGAGTCAGCATGGATTTATGAAGGGGAAATCATGCTTGACAAATCTGTTGGAATTCTATGAGGATGAAACTAGTAGAGTTGACAAGGGAGAGGCAGTCAGTGTAATATATTTGGGTGAGTGGGCAAATCAATGGCAGATGCAGTATAATTTGTATAGATGTGGGGTTATTCACTCGGAAGCAAAAACAAGAAGGCAGATTACTACCTGAATAACTGACTGTAAATTGGGAGAGGGCAGTATGCAGCGGGACCTGTGTGTCCTTGTGCACCAGTCCTGAAGGTAACCATGCAGGTGCAGCAGGCGGAAAGAAGGCAAATGGTATGTTGGCCTTCATTGCGAGAGGTTTTGAGTACAGAAGCAGTGATGTGTTGTTGTAGTTGCACGGGGCCTTGGTGAGACCTCACCTGGAATATTGTGTGCAGTTTTGGTCTCCTTTTCTGAGGAAGGATGCTCTTGCTCTTGAGGGAGTGCAGCGAAGGTTTACCAAGCTGATTCCGGGGATGGCAGGACTGACATATGAGGAGAGATTGACTAGGTTAGGGTTGTTTTTGCTGGACTTCAGATGAATGAGGGGGAAATCTCATAGAGACTTACAAAATTCTAACAGGATTGGACAGGGTAGATGCGGGGAGGATGTTCCCAATGGTCGGTTTGTCCAGAACAAGGGTTTACAGTCTGAGGATTCGGGGTAGGCGATTTAGGACAGAGTTGAGGAGACATTTTTTCACCCAAAGAGTGGTAAGCCTGTGGAATTTATTATCACAGGATGTAGTTGATGCCAAAACATTGAAAGTATTCAAGAGGAACTAGATGTAGCACTTGGGACGAATGGGATCAATGTTTATGGGGAGAAAGCAGGATTGGGCTATTGAGTTGGACGATCAGCCATGATCGTGAAGAATGGCAGAGCAGTATTGAAAGGCCGAATGGCCTCCTCCTGCTCCTATCCTCTATGTTTCTGTCCTGAATAAAGAGACTATTTTCGCCACTTACTGATTTCGGTCGTTGTTTGACATGATCCCTTTCATGTATATTGCTGAATTAGATGAATCCAGGTGATTAGAGAGTGTTTTGTCACACCCTTGATTTCTACCTTGTAGATGGTGGATTGGCTTTTAGAAGTCAGGTGGTGAGTTACTCCCTGTGCATTTCCCTTGAGACCACAGTAACTAAATGGCAGGTCCAGATAGATTTCTGGTCCATGGTAATATTGGTATTGATATTAATGTAAAGGGGAGATGGCCACGTTCTCTCATGCAGGCCATGTTTATTGCCTGACATGTGTCGTGTGAATGTTACTACCTGTATATCAGCCTCAACCAGACTGTATTGCCCATATTGGACTGCTTCAGTGGATGTTAATAGGGAAGGTTGTATATAATATACAAACAAGGTCAATAGATTGTAGAAGAGCTCAGAAAAAAGCTGAGTCGACCACATTGTTGTAGGCGTGGACTCGCAGGCCAGACTAGGTAGGTGTTTTAAGTCAATCTGTTCAGACTTGTTGTGAGACATTACTGTTGCAGGTGGATCTTGAACCTGGGCTTTGTGGCCCAGCAGCAGTGAAACTACCACTGCACAACAGCACTCTGACTAGATGAATTGAGGATTGCCAATTTCCTTTCCTTAAAAATGTTAGGTAGCCAGATGGGTTTTTATGACAATTGACAATGGTTATATGGTCATCATTATCTATGATTATGCTATCCACATAGTTGAACAGATTGGGTCTCTCTTTTCTTCAAAAAAGAAAGTTGAAGGGTCACCTGATTTATGTCATTAAAATTATGAATGGTTTTTATAAAGTAGCTACAGAGAAAATGTTTCCATTTGTGCGGAAGCACATAATCAAAGGTCATCAGTATAAGATAATCACCAAGAAATTCAAGATGTGGAGGTGCTGGTGTTTTACTGTGGCAAGGTCAGATATCACATGACAGTAGGTTATAGTCCAAAAGATTTATTTGAAAACACAAGCTTTTGGAGTGTAGCCCCTTTAGGTGAAGTGAGAAAGGAGCACACAGCACACAGAATTTATAAGTAAACGATCAAAGGGTCACACAACCGATGAGGATGTATTGAACAAATCTAAGATTGCTCTTAAATCTTTAATCAGTTAGAAGATTTTAATTGATATGTATATGTAAATCCCCAAATTTCTTTCAAGTCACTGCCTGAAAGAACTAAAGGTGTTATCACTGTAAAGAAGAAGTGACATTTTAGATCTGACAATTCATGTTAATTGAAGGAACCTCTAGTGCAATACTAATGCAGACGTGAAGAGTTTGAGCCCTGTTTCTGTTTTGTATATCCTGTGTAATCCTACATGACATGTTACAGCCGCATATTTGAAAGCACATTGGGAAAAATTGAAAAGAATGCATAGTTAAAGTAAGGTGAAGTGCACTTTTTCTTGTGAATTCACTGTTCGTGTTTTGTACTGCCTTAAATATAAACAGTATTTTGTTTCCTTATGCCACAGGAGGTAATGATTGCTGGTGGGATGGAGAGCATGTCCAATGTTCCATATGTGATGGGCAGGGAAGCACCAGCTTATGGAGGTGTAAAGTTGGAAGACCTGATTGTAAAAGATGGGTTAACAGATGTCTACAATAAAATTCACATGGCAAGTGTTACTCTTTCTGTAAACTTGGTACTTTGCAATTCATTGTGACTATTTATGCATTAGAAACAGAATCAGAATTGAATATCATTTGATATAGAAAATATAAATTGAATACTGTGATCTGAAGCTTGCATTGGTAACTTATACGAAAACATTATTTACTGAATTTACCTCTGTATAAGTTGGCTGGCAGTTGCCACCTTTGTGATTTCTTAGTATGCCACTAGAACTGCAGCTAACTTATAACTTGAGACCTATTTATTTAAAAGCACTTCTTTGCATGGATTTCTAAAAAAGAATTCTTTAGAATGCTGTCTAACTTACGGGCTTAATGCTTTCTTTTGTAAGATTATGGTATTAGTTAAAGGATGTGAAGAGGCTCTTACAGAGCAGAAGCACTAATGGGAGAAGACCAGTTATACAGCTTCGGCAAAAATGAGCTTTTTTAGGTTATAAATTTTATGTAATTATTATTACTACGTACTTGTGGTTAATGGGATCATTTTCCATGAATCTTAAACTTGTCACAGGGTAACTGTGCTGAGAATACTGCTAAGAAGTTTAACATTTCACGTGAAGAACAAGACTCTTATGCAGTTAGTTCCTACACTAAGAGCAAAGCAGCTTGGGATTCAAAGCTGATGGCAAAAGAAGTGGTTTCTGTCAGCGTTCCACAAAGAGGTATTTGTGCAGCCTATCTGCTGTCCTCCTTCAATGGCTTTTATCTTAAAAAATGTATTATTTACTCTTCCTCCTCCTAGACATCTCTCTCCACTCACTGTACCTCTATGCCCTTTACCCATTTTGTGCCCCAAATTCCTATTCTAACACTTTAGCACTCCTTGAAATACTTACTCACCTTTAGCTTTACTCCCCCTTAGATATGAGGATTGTTCTGTGAGGTGAGATACAGGAGAATGGGTCCATATTAGAGTTCAGAAGAATGGTTGCTTTGAAACTTTCATTGTCCTACTTTCTGATGCCTTAAAGCCTTGAAGGGTTATTTCCTCTTGCTGGAGAGTCTGGAGTTAGAAATCAAACTCTCCGGACAAGGGAGTGACCATTTAGGTTTGAGGAAAAATGTCTTTAAGTGCTGCACGTTTTTAGAATTTTTTTCATAGAGAGCTGCTCATGCCCAATTGCTGAGCATATTTTTGTTTACTAAGGGTTATGTGGATAGGATGGTAAAATGGAGTTCTGATAGGAGATTGACATGGTCATCATGAATGATGAAGCAGCCTCCAGGGGAATAGACCTGCCTCCTACTCTAATTCTAATGTTCGTTTAATTGCATTGACATTGTGATCTTGAAATAAACCTAACTGATGGTTTCACCATATGACTTTACCTTATTTTACTAACCCCACCCAAATCTGTAGTGGTGTTAAGCCTTCATCACCAAATCATACTTTGGTCTCCTATTCCTCTGACACTACCTGCTGCTTCAAAATTTCATCTTGTTCAACCCTCTTGCCTTAAAGTCTTTGTTACCATACTGCCCACCCTAAGTAGCAAGCTTCTTATCAAGATATCTTCACTACTTTCCTTCTTTGGTTCCTGCACCAAGAAATGTCTTGGTGATTTAGCCTCTTGCTATTTCCGTTGTGTCAATCGCAGATGAAGCTATGTGATAATTTTTTGTTTCTGCACCCAGATTTCTTTGTCTTCTCCCAACTTGCTATCCTTTAGACTCCTCTGGATTTTAAAAAAATCAAGTTTCCGTCCTTTGGCTCTTTGCGCATCGCCACATTTCTGGAATCGCCAATCTAATCATATCCTTGCTGTTACCTATGAGACCATTTTCAGGTTCAAGCCATTACTCTGTCTTATAATTTGATATGGCCCTTTTGTCCACACCCTTAATTTCAAGAGATACAGATGTGAGTGTCATAGATGGGCATCTAATTTGACCATTCATTGTTTGATCTGTCTGGACCCAAGTACTGTTGGGTTTCACACTCCAACCTAAACTAGTCCCTATTCCAAATTCATCCCAGAATGAGGAGATAATCCCTGGCTTCCTTTTCACTATAAACTGTTGTCTTAACCCATTCTCCCCTTCCTCCCCTATCCTTACTTCCAGCAACAAGTATGAGGAACTTTGTTGCAAAGGTTGAGACCTGTTGTCCACCCCATCTTTGCCACTTCCTGACCTTCCCCTAACTCACAGACAAAAGTTTGCCTAAGGTTCCCCTTTGCCCTAACCCTGAACTCTCACTGTCCTCTAGTTCCCCTCCTATATTCTCTCATGCCCTCTGTAGCTCAGCTCACTATGGGAGCCACCTGGTGCTCTCTCCACCATATTCCCATGAAACTCCTGACTGCCCAACATTCTATTCTGGCACTCATATTAGATATTATTTTAGTTCCCTATCCTCAGGAACTGCTGCTCCCCTCCTACCCATCTCTTCCGCCACCCCCCCCCACCTCCCAAAACACCTCACCTCCCACTTCATATTTGTTGTCATCAAACCTCTCAAAAACAAATACCCTGAGCTCACTATCCCTGTTCGACTGTATCCACCTCTAACAGTAACCATACAGGAGGGTATGGCTCAAGGAAAGAAAATAATAGCTTGTTAGAAAGATATACGTGTAACCATGGGACATATAGACTGGGAAAGTCAAATATGCAGAGTATCCTTGAGGAGTTCATAGAATTTTCAGGATGTTTTCTTAGAGCAGCATGTTCTGGAGCTAACGAGAGCAGGCGATATCGAACTGTTATTTTTAAAATTTAAATCAGTGCAGTTATGAGGGTGTGAAAGCAGTGCTGTCTAAAGTGAATTGGTCAATTTAAGTTAAAAGATAGACCAATAGAGAACATTCAAGAGAATATTTCAAAATGCACACAATAGATATATTCCAATGAATGGGAAAAAATGCAAGGGACAGATCCACCATCTGTGGTTAACTAGAACACAAAGAGAAAGTACATTATTATGCAAAGACCAGGTGGCAGATCAGGAGATCGGCCAGTATATAAAAATCCGCAAAGAGAGCCAAAATAATTAGTAAGGAGGGAAAATTAGAGTTCAGGAGAAAGCTAGCTAGAAAAATAAAAGCAGATTAAGTGTTTCTGTAAACACTTAAGACTCATAGAGCTGTACAGCATGGAAACAGACCCTTTGGTCCAACTCATCCATGCCAACCAGATATCCTAAATTAATCTAGTCCCATTTGCCAGCATTTGGCCCATATCCCTCTTAAACCCTTTTCTATTTATATACCTATCCAGTTACCTTTTAAATGTTGTAATTGTACCAGTCATCATCACTTCCTCTGGCAGCTCATTCCATACACGCATCACCCTCTGCGTAAAAAAAGTTGCCCATTAGGCCCTTTTTTAAATCTTTTCCCTCTCACCTTAAACCTGTGCCCTCTAGTTTTGGACTCCGCTATCCCAGGGAAAAGATGTTGGCTATTCACCCTATCTATGCCCCTCATGACTTTATATACCTCTAAGATCACCCCTCAGCCTCTGATGATCCAGGGAAAATAGGCCCAGCTTATTCAGACTCTCCGTATAGCTTGAACCCTCCAAACCTTCAACATCCTTTTACATCTTTTCTGAACCCTTTCAAGTTTCACAACATTCTGTCTATAACAGGGAACCAGAATTTGAAGGCAGTATTCCAAAAGTGGCCTGACCAATGTCCTATACAGCAGCAACATGACCTCCCAATTCCTATACTCTACCCCCTGACCAATAAAAACAAGCATACCAAATGCCTCGTTCACTAACCTGTCTACCTGCGACTCCACTTTCAAGAAACTGTTAACCTTCACTCCAAGGTGTCTTTGTTCAGCAATACTCGCCAGGACCTTACCACTAAGTGAATAAGACCTGCCCTGATTTGTCTTTCCAAAATGCAGCACCTCATGCTTACCTAAATTAATCTCCACTCTGCCACTCTTCAACCCACCAGCCCATCCGATCAAAGTCCCATTGTACTCTGAGGTACCTTCTTGGCTGTCCACTGCACCATTAATTTTGGTGTCAACTGCAAACTTACTAACCATATCACCTATGTTCACATCCAAGTCATTTATATAAATGATGAAAAGCAGTGGACCCAGCACCGATCTTTGTGGCACACCGCTGCTCACAGACCTGCAGTCTGAAAAGCAGCCCCCCACCACTACCCTCTGCCTCCTACTTTCCAGCCAGTTTTGTATTCAAATGGCTAGTTCTCCCTGCATTCCATGTGATCTCATCTTGCTTACCAGTCTACCATGTGGAACCTTGTCGAAGACCTTACTGAAGTCCATATTGATGACGCCCACCACTCTGCCTTCATCAATCCTCTTTGTTACCTTTTCAAAAACTCCATTAAGTTAGTGAGACACGATTTCTCACGCACAACGACTATCCCTAATCAGTCCATGCCTTTCCAAATACATGTAAATCCTGTCCCTCAGGATTCTTTCCAACAATTTGCCCAACAGTGATAACAGGCTCACTGCTCTATAGTTCCTTGGCTGTTCCTTACCACCTTTCTTAAATAGTAGCACAACGTTAGCCAACCTCCAGTCTTTTGGCACCTCACCTGTGGCTATAGATAATACAAATATCTCAGCAAGGGGCCCAGCAATCACTTCCCTAGCTTCCCACAAAGTTCTAGGGTATGCCTGATCAGGTCCCAGGGATTTATCCACCGTTATGCATTTTAAGACATCCAGCACCAACTCCTCTATAATATGGACATTTTTCAAGATGTTGTTACTTATTTACACAGGTTCTCTAGCTTTCATATCCTTCTCCACAGTAAACACTGATGCAAAATAGTCATTTAGTATCTCCCCCATCTCCAGTTCCACATGCAGGGTGCCTTGCTGTTCTATAAGGGCCCCTGTTCTCTCCCTAGTTACCCTTTTGTTCTTAATATATTTGTAGAACCCCTTTGGGTTCTCCTTAAGCCAGTTTGCCAAAGCTATCTCAAGTCCTGTTTTTGCCCTGTTGATTTCTCTCTTAAGTAAACTTCTACTGCCTTTACACTATTATAGGGATTCATTCAACCTCTGCTGTCTATACTTGACATATGCTTCCTTCTTTTTCTTGACCAAAACCTCAATTTTTCTAGTTATCCAGCATTCCCTACACCTACCAACCACTCAACAAGGAAAAGGGTTTTAAAAAGAAGTGAACATTAGAGACTGGAGGATTGATAATCGAAATGAAGAAATTATAGATGAATTGAACAGATATTTTGCCTCCATCTTCACTATAGCACGCAGAAGTAAGATCCTAGAATCAGCAATAAATCAGGAAATGGAAGGAATAGAGGAACGTGGAAAATTTACAATAATCAGAAAAGTGGTTCTGAGTAAGTTGTTGGAGCTCTGGGCTGTCAATTGCTTGGGTCCTGACAGCCTTTCATCCTAGGATTCTTAAGTGGCTCGTGAAATAGGTTTTAATTTTCCAAAATTCCACTGATTTAAGGACAGTTCCATTTGACTGGAAGATAGCTAAGTGCAACTCCTTTTATTGAAGATGGGAACAAGGTGGAAAGCAGGAAACTACAGGCAAGTTAACTTAACATCTGTCACAAGGAAAAAATTAAAGTCTATTATTAACTAACAAAGTTAGAGCAGGGCACTTGGATAAGTTCAGGGTAATCAGGCAGATTCAGAATGATTTTGTGAAAGGGAAATCTTGTTTGATTTATTTATTGGAGTCTGTTGAAGAGCTGACACATGATGTGGATAAAGGGAAAGTGGCCAAAATATTGGAGTTAGATTTCCAGATTTGCCAAGGTACCACATCATGTGTTATCGCAGAAGATAAAAGCTTATTATGTAGGGAATAGCATCTTGGCATGGATTGAACATTGACTGGTTAGCAGGAAGTTGAGGGTAAGCATAAATGGATATTTTTCAGACTGGCAAGGTGAAACAACCAGTGTGCCACAAGGATCAGTGAAGGGACCTTAACTGCTTACACTTCATATAAATGATTCAGCTGAAGTGACAGACATGGTTGCCAGGTTTGCTGCTGACACAAAGTTTAGAAAATTTGAAAAGATATCGATAGATTAAGTGGGCAAAGATGTGGCAAATGAAGGATAATGTGGGAAAACATGAAATTGTGCATTTTGGTAGGACGAATCCAAAAGCATATTATCTGAGCGTGAGCTGAGGCACAGAGGTACCTGAGTATGCTTGTGCGTGAATTTCAAAAAGTTAATATGTAGGTGCAGTAAGTAATTAGGAAAAGTAATAGAATGTGTTCATTTATCGTAAGACGAATTGAATACAAAAGTTGGGATATCACACTTTGGTCATATAGGACACTAGTGAGACTGAATCTAGACTGCTTTGAACAGTATTGGTCACCTTATTTAAGGAAGGATGTGAATGCATTGGCGGCAGTTCAAAGAGGGTTTACCAAGCTAATAGCTGAAATGTGTGATTTGTCTTATGAGGAAAGTTTGCACTGGCTAGGCTTGTAACCGCTGATCTTTAGATGTATAGGAGGTGACTTGATTGAGATAAGAAAGATTCTGAAGGGTTTTGATAGGCTAGATGTGGAGAGAATATTTCCTTTTATGGGAGAACCTAGAACTAGGGATTCTTTATTTGAAAATTTAAGGGCTGCCCATTTAAAACTAAGGCAAAATGTTTTTTAAGGTACATGAGTCTTTGGATCTCTGCTTCACCACAATTTCAGAAAGACTGCTTGAATATTTTTAAGGCGGAGGTAGGTAGATTCTTGTTAAGAAAAGGAGTGACAGGTTATTGGGGTAGGCAGGAATGCAGATTTGAGGTCGTAGTCCAATCAGCCAAGATCTTATTGAATGACAGAGGAGGCTCGAGGGACTGAATGACCTACTGCTTCTATTTGATATGTTCGTATCTAAAAATATACCTCGCACCATATACCATACCCCAGAACAGAGCACGGGTGACTCAAAAGATGGTACGACATCACAAAGGAAAGTCTTAATGTATACGAATGCAAACATGTTGAAGTGTACAGTAAACTGTAAAAAAGACATTTCAGAAGATGGTGAAGCTTTCCCTATTGTGTATCTTACACATCATGTCCTGAAAACACAGATTGACACACCTGAAGAGTTAACAGTTAAAGTTGAAACAGTAGCTAGTGCCAATATATTGCCACTGTGTATCTTGAAAGACAGGTACCTCAACAAGTGGCACTACATGGTGCAATCTATGAAAGACCGTCCCTTGGCGAATGCAAGTTTATTTGACTTCTTGAAATTATCTCGTAACATTCAACAGTCCAGTAGCTACAGGACTACCACTATACACAGATCATAGTATAATCCTAAATCATGAGATTCAAACCACGTCCACTGTGGAACAGACGAGGTGTGAGTCACTTGACCCATTGGAAGCTGAAGACATTTTTAAGGTAGACAATTAGACTTTTGTCAGAGCCAGTGTGGCTACAAGAGCAGGCAAGAGGGTAGGAATTCTGCAACAAGTTACTCATCTCCTGTTTTCCCCAATACCTGCACACCATGTAAAAGGCACAAGTCAGGAATGTGATGGAATACTCTCCGATCTGTCACTCTGCCATGGACTTTGCCTTCAACAGGGTATAGGTGAGGCAATACATATTCCCACTCCCTTAGCAAAAGAACTAGATGGGTAATGTACAACTGAAGGTTTCAACAGATATTTATTACCATTCCTTCCGAATACATATGTTACATTCACAACGACTTCAGTGCCTGAGCTGTTATTAAGCTATTCAGTTACAAGCAGTAGTACACATTGATCAGCGTGTTATATTTCTAAGTTAAGATGGTGTCCCAGACCTTTATACCATTAGCTCATATGCCATGATATTGTGAAGATGTCATAAGCATGAAGGTGTCTCTGAGAGGTATCCTGCATACTACTTATAAAACGTAACACAGCATCTGCTTTTACATAATTCATAGGCACATGTTATCAGTTTGATCACAATTTGATACTTACACAAACAAATTAAGAACAGAGTTAACAAAAGTTAACAATTCACATTTCAATGTAACACTTTGGAGGTTTTGCAGCTGGTTCTCATCGAGTAATTGTTTCCCAATCTGGAGTGCTATGTGTTATTCTTGTTGCTGTTGCTGCAGGTTGCTGTCATTCAACATTATTGCACAATCATCAGAGTCTTCTTTCTCACTCGGTGCATAATTGGCATGTTGTACATTGGCACGTCTGAGCTGGCTCCAATTCTTTCGCAATATAGCAAAATGATTGATGTATTATGATGTACTGATGTCATATGATCTTATCTGGTTGCATATTTTAGAAACCTTTGCTTGTATCCAAATATTTGTAACACAGTTTCTGACTCCCAGTCCCTGCCAGGTGTGTAGTTGTGGTAATTCTCCACTGCTTGGTAGGCATGTATTTCTTTGATCTCCTTTCTCTTTAAAGAACAATGTTGTGCATCTCCGAAGGTTAGACAAATGGATGCTGGACAAGGGCATTCACAACTGCCTTTTGAGTATAAATTGACCTCTCCATTGGTGTTGCGTGAAAATTCAGCAACACAATGTGCAAGTCTTGTTTTGCTGGTCAACATTTGATGATCGTAGATTTGATAGAACTCACTTTTCATTTTCCTACACCTTTTTAGCAAGGACAGCAGGGTGACATTGTGATATGGGTCTTGAAATGGTTTGCCAGTTGAAAGTGGTCTTTTATCAAATGCTACTTTTTCTGGTATATCAAAAAATGAAAATAGTTGTAATTTCAGCAATGGTTGCACTTGCGTTGCTAAGGCATCAAACATTGGGAAATTTAAATAAATAATCTGACACGAGGATGTAACCTTCCCTGAGTCTGTTGCAGTTTTGTTCAATAAATGGATGGAGCATTGTGTGGATACAGACTCCCTTCTCTGCTGGGCATGAAATGTTTGGCATGCCTCACGTGCATTCATGAGTTATGTATTCTGATTCACTGGCTAGCCTTCATGTGCATTCAAACCCATGTATCTCCAGAATAACATGGACATGGTATTTTGTGTTTTTTGATATTAGGATCAGTTTTCCCTCAAATGATTTGCTGTGACGTACCAGGTTCACTTCTGCATAGCAAAAATGAAAACATGTTCTCAGGAATTTCTTTAATACTGTTACCCATTCCAGGAAGACATTGTTATGAGTCATCAAAAATTTCAATCATGTTAGGCATGACCTCCCTCTGACAAAGTCATTCTGACTATCCCTGATCAAATCTTGCATCTAGAAGTGGAGATTATTTCCTTCAGAATTTTCTCCAGTAGTTTTCCTACCATTGATGCCAGACTCACCAGTCTTAAATTCCATACCACCTTGGTTTATCTCTACCACCCTTGAAAAGTGGAACCACATTAGTTGTCCTCCTGTCCTCTGGCACCTCCCCTGTGGCCAGATGAGGAATTAAGGACTTGGGACAGAGCCCCTGTAATTTCCTTCATCTCCCACAGCAATCTGGGACACATCTCACTGGGACCTGAGGATTTGTCCACTTCTAAGCTTGTGAAACCTCCTCACTCCGTGACAAACTGGTCAAGGATCTCATAGTTTTTCTTTTCCTGAGCTCTGTACTTAAACATCCTCTTTCTCCAAAGTAAAGTTCCCTACCAATGACCTTCAGCTGCAGGAATAGGTTACCCCTTTGATCCATAAAAGACCCCACTCATTCCCTATTTATCCTATTTCCTTGGATATATTTACAGAATATCTTGATTCTCCCTCATCTTACTCACCAGTGTTTTTACATTCTCCCTCTTTGCTCTCCTAATTGCTTTCTTAAGATCCCCTCTGCACTTATACTCTGCTAGGGCCTTCATTGATTTGCTCCCTTTGTACCTGTAAAAAAGCTTCTCTTTTTCTTACCTAGTCCTGAATATTCCTACACATTCATGGTTCTCTGGGCTTGTTGCTCCTAGATTTCACTCTGAAGACAACATGTTGACTCTGTACTCTTTCCAATTCTATTCTGAACGACTGCATTGTCCTACTCCTAGTCAACTTAGTCCAAGTCCTGCCTTATTTTAACAAAATCTGCCTTCCCCAATCCTTTACTGCAGACTATCCTTTTTCATAATGACCTTAAAACATAGTGTTGTAGTCATTATCACAACTAAAAAATATATGGTGTTATGGTCAGAGGGATGTTGTCAAAATTCTATTTGGTGATTCTTTTTTTTCTGTCCCTTGAGTTAGGTAAACCAGATCTAGTAATTACTGAGGATGAAGAGTACAAACGTGTAGACTTCAGTAAAGTTCCAAAAGTCAAACCAGTCTTCCAGAAAGAAAATGGTAAATGTATAAGCTCAAATAGTTACAGTATGTGTGTGGATAAAAATAAACTATTCTTTAAATTTTTTCTTGTCTTTAAAAATGTATTGTCAATTGTGGAAACTTTAAGACATTTTGATTATCTTGCATAAGAATGTGAACCTCAATTTTGAACACTTTCAGAAAAGAATTGTGGTTAGCCCACATTCTTGCAAACAATTCAAATGATTAATATATTTATCTAACTTCTGTTTGTTTAATCTTGTCTATAAAATGGCAGGTGTTTGTTTGCATACATCTTTATATTTTAATTTGTCTGCAACATGCTTTCAGATCTTTAAAGTAAGTTCCTGTTAAAAGCCTGATGATAAAGCACCAAACAAATGCAAAGTTTTTAACTTTGAATTTCTAAGTGTAAATTTTAGCAAAATTTAAAATATGAAGTCATTGGATTTCAAGCATTCAATGTTGATACAAATGATAAATCTCATCTGTAAACTACTGTACCATTTGAGCCAGCTCTTGAATTAATACCTTGTACCTATTGTTACCACTCAAATTCTGGATAGTTATTTTCCACTGCAACATCATCTCTGCTTTTCAAAAAAAAAAGTTTTTTATATTGTTGTTCATGTGTGCACAAATTGATTGTTCAGTTTCCAAATTACAAGTGTCTGCACTGCAGAAGTACTTAAATGGCTGGAAAACATTTTGTGACGTTGGATGTGAAAAGTATTTTTTGCATTTTTGTGCGTTATCAACACCTCTAGGAAACAAAATGGTAATTTGTTTGATCCCTTTTCTGACATGATAAATTGTTTTATTGATTTCTTCCAATTTTATGGACATGCTAAGTGGGAATTGGAAATATAAAGAAACTAAAAATCATGGATTCAACATGCATTCTGAGACAAAAGAGGTTGATAAAGCATTATCTTCTAGGGATCCTTTAAAGAGAATTCTACCAAATATTATATAATATACTCATTTTATTGAAAACCTCTGTGCTCAATCTGAGACATAACGTCTGTGCAATGCATTTAAAAAAGCGTTTAAAGAATAATGCTAAAATACAAAGTTCTGTGCCATTTAAATTCCATATTGGTTGAATTTATTTTTCAGGTACAATTACAGCTGCCAACGCAAGTACCTTAAATGATGGAGCAGCTGCTTTGGTACTAATGACTGCAGAGGCAGCTAAAAGATTAAACGTTACACCAATGGCCAGGATTCTAGGTATGTGACAAGTACTTTTTTGTTTCCATCAACTAAGTGGAGGTGTAAGATAAAAATCTTACACTTCAGTCCAAAAGTCATGAGAAAATGATGACTGTTTCCCATCTCAATCTGTGAAAGCTGCCCAACTTGGGAAGTTTTCATCAAGTGAAACTTGACTGTAAATATTGTTTATGTATGAGCACCACAGAAAAGTGCTTCAGTTAATGAGCGCGTTCAGGGCAGCCATATTTAATTTGAAGTATCTATATATGTATTTTTCTTGTTTGTGAAAATGATGTTTACAAGAAAATGTTTATTCATTGTATGAAAATATTGAATTTTTTAAACAATAGATTGTTATGGTTAAATTTGCATTATTTGAAAATGAAAATGTTTAAAAACATAGGATGTTGGGATTGTTTAGAACACTAACGACAGAAGTGTGAAGTGATTAATTTTGGTAGGAATAACAACTGAGAGACAATACAGAATAAAAGGTACAATTCTAAAGGAAGTGCAGAAACAGAAGAACTTGGACAGAAGACTTAACAGAAGAACTGTTTAAATCATTGAAGGTGGAGGTCTAGTTGACAGTGGTTTGTAAACTGGCCTTTATCAATACAGTCATAGCATACAAAAACAAGGCAGTAATGTTAATTAAGCATCTTGTTCTTGGTCCTTCTACCAATGGAACAATTTTACCCTATCTACTCTGTTCAGCACCCTCAGAATTTGTATCACAATCTTTTTGCATTTTTTTCTCACGCCACATTCTTCCTAATGTGTAGCACCCAGAACTTGACAGCTTCCATTTGCTAAGATGGTTAAGAATGACAGCTTGCCATGTAAGGAAATGTTTCGGAAACCCAACATGGCACCATTTATTTCAATTTGTTGGAAGCCATCATCGAGAGAGGCTGTGTATAATGAAATATTTAGAAATCTGTATTTTTGAAGACTTTTAGGAATGGAGAACGGAAATGGTTCTACTCTCGTTGGGGCATGAGGAAAGATGCTGGTCTGGTATTTTAACTTGGCTGTGCTTCCCTTTTCAGCTAATTTCCTCAGTCAATCAGTCTACTGAAAAACATTGAGGAAATTCACATGCATTGCAAGTTGCTGATCTTTTAGTCTTAGTTAAACAAACGGTGTACAGGACTGCATTGACTTGACTGGCTCCAGATTGAAATCATCATAATGAATTTCCACAACTGAGTCCATTTCTGGGCCTTCCAGTTGAGCTTCTTAAAATTAAGCTTTTGTTCTTTAATAAATAAAGCACCCAAAGCTGATAAACACATTTTTGAAAGCTTTTACATTTATATTTACTTTAGTATAAACCAAAGAAACCATTAAATGGTTCTGTATAATTTTTAGAAAGACTTTCTAATTTACAATCTAGTTACTCTGAGATGGTGGACCATCTTGAAAGAAGATTTAATTTTTGTGATAAACCAATTTCAGCTGTGTTTTTAAATGGCATCAAGTTGGGACTTAAATTTATTGGCTTTCTTTAAAACTGAAAACAAGTGTTCCAAAATTGTCCTAATACACTGGTTCACAGGAGATCTTTGGTTGGCAATCTCTAAATAGATTGGAGTGGAAGCTTGAGCAAATTGCTTCTGAAAACTAGCGTGATTTTAAGTACAGTTTATACCTGGATTGTTGGTTCTAAAGTTGTAACACTAGCCCAGGAACTTTCAACTAAGAAATGTGCTTAACCTAATGAGAGAAGATTACGAAGATTAACAAAATTATGTTAAAATTGCTTAAAGATCAAGTTGTTTCCTTGAATTATCAATATTCTTTCAGCTGATCTGAAATTAGTTATTACGTATTTTCTTAGTTTTGTAAAACTTGTTTATTTTCTGACCAGCTTTTGGAGATGCTGCAGTGGATCCAATTGATTTTCCAATTGCTCCTGCTTTTGCTATACCAGAGGTAAATATTCATAATATTGATACCATTGATGAAGTCTTTTAGTTGATTGTTGAAGCATCCAGAAAGCATTTTAAAAACAAAAGTTGGATTGTATGTAACTGTGCTAAAAGTATTAGGGACAGCATTCGATCCAAAGAGACAAAAAAAATTGCCAGAAAAAGCAACAAGCCAGAGGACTGGAAATGTTATAGAGTTCAGGGAAAGAAGACAAAAAAACTTTCAAGAAGGAAAAATAGGTTGAGAGAGTAAAATTGCGGGGACATCGAAACTGACCATAAAAGCTTCTGTAAATATGAAGAGAAAAAGATCAGTCAAGACAAATGTAGGTCTCATGTCAGAAGCTGAGAAAATTATAATGGGGAACAAAGAAATTAATACATACTTGGTTCTGTCTTCACAAAAGAGAGCATAGATAACCACCCAGAAATGTTAAGGAACCAAGGGTCTATTGAAAGATTAAAGGCAATCAATATTAGTAAGAAAATGGTGCTGGGGAAACTAATGGCTTAAAAGCTGACAAATCACCAGGGCCTGACAATCCCAAAGTACCAAAGGAATGGCCCTGGAAATATTGGATGCATTGGTGGTCATCATCCAAAATTCTCTAGACTCCGGATCAGTTCCTGTAGATTAGATGGTAGCAAACGTAACCACACAGTTTAGAAAGAGAAGAAGAGAAAAAAAGAATTACAGACCTGTTAGCCTGACACCGGTAGTTGGAAAATGCTAGAGTTTAGTATAAAAGATTTGAAAACAGAACACTTGGAAAGCATTAGCTGGATTGGGAAAAGCCATCATGAATATATGAAGGGCAGATTATGGTTAACGAATCTACTGAAGTTTTTAAGAGTATTTAACAAGTAAAATGGATAAGAGAACCAGTGAATGTGGTATATTTGGATTTTCAGAATGCTTTTAATAAGATCCCTCATAGTGGCCAAGTTAAAACACATGGGACAGGGGGTAATATATTGCCATGGATTGAGAATTGGTTGATTAGGATTCATGATGTGGTGCAGTGTGATTTCTGACCAGATAGGATTCAGAGAGAGGGGATCTTTGGGTTTTTTCCTCAACCTACTAGTCACTGCTTAGTGCTATCACAAGGATCAGTGCTTGGGACCCAGATGTTCATAATATCTATAAATACCTGGGTGAGGGAATCAAATGTAACATTTCCAAGTTTGCTGCTGATACAAAACTAACCAGATTTATGAGTGGAGATGGACGCAAGGAGGCTTCAAGCTAATTTAGACAAGTCGAGTGAATGAGCCAACACATTCCAGATGCAATACGTGGCTAAATTTGAAGTTATACACTTTACCGTAAAAAGCAGAAAGAAATATAATTTAAATGGTGATGTATTGGGAAGTGTAGATATACAACGGGATCTGGGTGTCCATGTACACCGGTTAATGAAAGTAGGCAGGTGCAGTGAGAAACTAGGACAGCAGATGTTATATTGGCTTTTGTTGCAAGAGGATTTGCGTTCAGAAAAAAAAAAGTCTTATTGCTGTTGTACTGGGCCTTGATTAGACCACACCTGGAGTATTTTGTGCTGATTTGGTCTCCCTACCTGAAAAGAGGATCTACTTGCCATAAAAAGAGTGCAATAGAGATTGACTAGGCTAGTAATGGGAATAACTGGACGGCTGTATAAGAGAACATTTGTTCAGCTGGGCCTTTATTCACACGAGTTTGGAAGAATGAGAGGGGATCTGCAAAAAATAAAATTCCAAGAGCTGGACAGGAGAGAAAGCGTGAAAATGCCATTAAGTTGGAGGATCGGCCATAATCATATTGAATGGCCTACACTTGATTCCACTTGCTGTGCTTCTGTAAGTTGAATGTAAAATGTCAAATATAGCAGTGGGTGGTCATCATTTTAAAATATGTAAAAAGAAAAAAAAACTCCAGTAATTTGAATCTTTTGGAAAAAACCTTTAGCTACAATTAAAGGGATTTAAATCCCATCAATGCAAAGAGTTGGATTGGTTTGGTTATTTTTGGTTTCATAATCATCTCCCCCATAACATATTTTCTTCTTCACCCACTAAATTGAATATTTTGCATTGTTCAACAAAAAAATCTGATAACCGTCTGTCCAAACCTTGATAACAAGACCACACAAAACATCAAGACATCTAGCAGACCTATGGGACCTGCAGTGTACTGGTTCATCAAATATTCTGGTTGGATTAAGGGGTCCACAATCAATATACAAACATCGTAATAGAAACATAATATGGAGGGTATACACATCACTGTTATACTTTATTTATAGCATAAATCACTTAAATAATAAATTAATAAAACTTGCCAGCAGACAGCCTTGTCACTCACATCCTCAAATGACTACTCAGACAAAGTGGTGATAATGATAATACAGTAAATGTCTGGTAATGTGTATGTAATTGTGTCAGTTTGTTGAGAGTGCTGGTTCATTAGATGCAGGTTAAAGCTTAGGCTTTAATTTTATTCCATTCTCCATAACAGGCTGGTCTGTGAATCTTGTCATCTCATGTCCTGCAGTTTTCACTGAAACCGTTTTTGAATCTTTTCACTACACAGTTCAGTCGCTGGGCATATTAAAATTTCATCCATGTTACCTGTTTAGCATAATTGGTACTCTCGTTTTTGTCACTGGAAACTATGGTAATTTTGACTTGGATGTCTTGGCTTGGGTTTTGAACAATTGAGGTCTTCTGTCATAATAGTAGGTATTACACATTCAAGTTCCTCTCCAAGCCATACATCATCCTGATTTGGAATTATAATCACAATGCCTCTGCTGGTGGCTCAGTGGTTAGCACTGCTGCCTCACAGAAGCAGGCGCCCGGGTTCGATTCCACCCCCCGGCGACTGTCTATGTGGAGTTTGCATATTCTCCCTGTGTCTGTGTGGGTTTCCTCTGGGTGTTCAGGTTTCCTCCCACAGTCCAAAGATGTGCAGGTTAGGTGGATTGGCCATGCTAAATTGCCTGTAGTGTTCAGGGATGTGTAGCTTAGGTGGGTTATGCGGGGATGGGTCTGGGTGGGCTGCTCTGAGGGTTGCTGTGGACTTGGGCCGAAGGGCCTGTTTCCAAACTGTAGGGATTCTATGATTCTACTGGAACTCCCTTCTTAACATGACTATGGGTGATACAGCAGTTCAGGAAGGTTACTACATCACCTTCTCCAGGGCAGATAGAGATTGGCAATAAATGCTTGCCTCATCAGCAATGCCCAAATCCCTTCGGAAAGTTGCAAAAGTGGGGGTGTTGACAATGTAGATGTAGAAAGGATGTTTCCTTATGTGGGGCAATCTAGAATGAGAAGTCACAGTTTTTAGGATAAGGGGTAGTGGATTTAAAACAGATGAGAAGTTACTTCTCTCAAAGGATTGTGAATTTGGAATTCACTACTTCGGTATGTTGGTGCTAGGACATTGAGTAAATTTGAGGAGGAGATAGATGGTTGTTTATTTAGTAATGGGTTGAAGGGTGATGGAGAGCAGGCTGGAAAGTGCAGCTGAAGCTGAGATTAGATCATCCATGATTGTTTCAAATGTCAGAGCAGGCTCAAGGGGCTGAATTGCCTATTCTTACAGCCCTCTGGTCCCCTGGGAATGTGACAACTTATTACCTCACTTACGTGATACGTGCACATTTTGGGACAATTTTCAGTGTAAAGAGCAGGGAAAAATGGGAATTTAAACCACAAGAAAATAATTATTTCTGATAGAAGCTAATATTTTCTTACTAAATCTAAAGTTATTGGGGAAATTAATCATTCAACTGTATCAATTCAAGAAGACTCACTGTCTTCTCAGGGTATAACGAAAGAGTAAACAATAAGTACATCTCAAAAATAAAAATTGTTCCTTTCCTTAGCATTAAGGATTTAACATTTTTTAACATTCTACTCCTGGATTAAAAAAAATTTATTTGAGCAACTCCGGTCAGTGACATTTTGTTTTGTTCTCTATTTATAAGACATTAAACTTATTGATACAAAGTGCTGGAGATGCTAAGCAAATCTAGCAGCATTGATGAGAGGGGAACAGTTGATGTTGAGTCCAATATGCCATCAGAACTGCTTCATACTTCATTTCAAAGAGTCTCACTGCGCTTGAAATTTTAACTCTGCTTCTTTCTTTACAGAAACCTCCAGCCCTGCTGAGTTTCTTAAGTGCTCAGTGTTTTTTATTTCAGCTTTCCCATGCGTGCAGTTTTTTTGCTTTTGTTCAAACCTACTCATTTGCTTCAACATGAATTATCTGGTCTTCATTTTCCTTTTCAATTTACCTAGGACTGTGCATAGAAATTAATGTAATCTCACCTGGTTGAAAAAAATTAAACTGAATTTATATGCAATTAATGTTTTCTGTATTTGTCTTAAAACAGCTCCTTAAAACAACTGGCATGAAAAAAGAAGATATTACAATGTGGGAGATTAATGAAGCATTTAGCGTTGTTGTTCTGGCTAACATTAAAATGTTGGAGGTTGACCCTCAAAAAGTTAACATCAACGGTGGAGCAGTGTCTCTGGGTCATCCCATTGGGTAAGTAGAAATCCCAAAACTGGAGAACTGTTGGTTTATTATTACCAAATTTGCTTCTTCAGAGCTATCTCTGGGGTACCGGTTCCAAAAACCTAGATGATGAATTTAATCATTCAACCCAGGAGACCTTTCAGAAACTCCTGATCCTATTATTATAGTCATTATATGTAACGTAGTGTCAAGTCACATTGAAATGTTTAAACAGTGGTACAAATGAATCCTTAAATGGTGTAGGTAAAAATGCACCTTGAGCATTACTAGATCTCCCGCAGGGGCATTAAAGTCTGATGTTTATTCTCTCTGCTTGGTGTGATAGCTCTGCCTTGGAGTTTTACTGCATCTTAGCACTGGAGGATATTTTCTTGAGCTTAATTTTTGCCTGGAAGTGTGTCTTCTGTATCGTGTCCAACTCCTTTTGAGGACACAATTCATGTTTTTAAAAAAGTCTCACCCTCAAAACAACCCTGTTGATTTACCTCTATTTCTGAAGGGAACATTGATCAGTAGTTTGTGTGGAAAATGTCTTAGATTCCATAATCTTCACTTGCGTCTCGCCAGGTATTTTTGTTGTAGAAAGCTAATCAGAATCAAGGAGGGAAACTTTTCTAAGCTTGCTTGAGGTGCTTTCCTTTGAATTTGTGTCCTTTGACAGATGTTCCATCTTTTCATTCTGTTCGAACTTCATGAATAATGAAAGTTCAAAGATAAATGAAAATACTTTTGCATTTAAACTTGCAACAGTTTGTTCATAATCTCTTCTTTTAATTTTAGAATGTCTGGGACAAGAATTGTTTGTCATATGGCTTACAATCTAAAGCCTGGAGAATATGGAGTGGCTGGAATCTGTAATGGAGGTGGTGGTGCTTCTTCAATACTAATTCAGCGTTTGTAAAATAATCAGATTCTGTATAACTCAAGGGTTAAGCTGCTAAATCTTACTGAACAACAGTGTGTGTAACAACTTTCTGTAATCACTTGAATGAATACTAGTAGATTCTTTTGTCACAATCAGTTTCTGGTAGCAGGTATTACATCTGCAGTACTTTAAATTGGTAAAGGGTGAAACATGCCTTTTGTGAACTTTAACTTTGTACTTCAACTGTATTCTGCTAAGTACAATGTTTGTTTTGTTTAAAAATTAACTGTCCAAATTTGAAATCACTGGCCCCCTGACCAAAGTGAACTATACAAGACTTATATTTTAAATTGTTAGCTGCATATGAAGAGTGGATTTTTCAATGGATTTGTACTTGTTAAATACATGCTCATCCTGAAGAAAAGCAGTGGGCCTAATTGTAAAGTTTGCCTTGAATAGTAACAGATAAGAGGTATACCAATAATACTGTCATCTATTGTGGAATCCATGTTTACTGCAAATAAAGTATTTGCAAAAATTTCTGAATTACTTAAAATATAGGAAGAAGATTGTGAGAAGGATAAGAGATTCCTCATCACTTGCGGAAAATTCTTTCCATTGTTTATTGCAAACTTGTCTTGAGGGCTGTTTGCCATTTGATTGTTTTTAAATTAAGACGAGCTGTACTAGATAAATTGGGCTATATTTTCCAATTTTAATGTGATTTTTCTTATCTAAAATTAATAGTGCCACCTCCAGTTCCTTTAGTAATGCCTTTGACTTCTGTTGAGAATCTAAAGAGTTAGGGGTGGGTGTGTGTGTGTGTGTCAGAGAAGGTACACACTCCATATCCTTAAGTTCCATTTAAAGTTCTGCCTTTAATGAATAGAGACTGCTCAATAGTGGTGTTCCCTTGAACACATTTATTAAAGCACAGGTTGAAGTTTTACAGTATTTACAAATTAACTGAGTATTAATTATAACTTGAAATATACAGTTTCAAAAGCATTTCAATCATAATCTAGCCATCACTCACTTTCTACAAGATTTGCTTTCAATTGTGCCAGGTAAAGATGTTTGCTCAGTAAATTTCAACACTAAGTGCTGTTATGAGGGCATTGTAGTTTATTTAAGTTGTGTTAATACCAGGAATCAGTTATTGTATAAAATGAACTGACAGCAGAATGCAAGAACGGTTTGGTTCATGAAATTGAAGCCAGTAAATTCTGCGTGATCATTCATCGTATTGCAGTGAACTTAAAAATTTATCTACATCCATTTCAACAGGAAAAGAGTCCAGATGTTTCTTTCGCTTGTGTTTCTGTAAGATAAAACATTTTATTTTGAAGCTAGAAAAGATTGAAATTAAAAATGAATGTCTGCAATATGGCTTATGAAGCTTAAAAACAAGCTAAATAACTGAGCAACTATGTTAGGCAATAACAATTCATTACACTGAAATGAGCAAAGTTTTGTTCAACCAACTTTTACGCTGATAAACAAATCAATCACATTATATACTTGAAGTTAACGTTATAACTTTTAAAAAATATTTAACCAGTAAAACTAAAGTTGTCCTCTGACTCTCACAACCACCAACTTCGAGATTGTGCCAAACCTTCTGCATTCTTTTGGGTACTAACTGTACCCTTTGTTTCAGCAACTCAAATTTGTCACTTAATACTTTATCTTGTGATTTTCCACATCTCTCCCATTACTTAATTTCCTCTTCTGTTTGGTAACCAAGTGCTTGATGGAATTGCAGAAAATGACTGGCATTTCTCCTTATCTCTCCATGTATTGAACAGATAATTAACTCTTCCTTGGTAATCACAACTTCATCGAAATGCAGAGATAATAGGAACTGCAGATGCTGGAGAATCTGTGATAACAAAGGTGTAGAGCGAGATGAACACAGCAGGCCAAGCAGCATCAGAGGAGCAGGAAAGCTGCCGTTTTGGCTCTAGACTTTTCAGAAAAGGGGGAAGGCAGATAGAAGACGGATAAAAGGTCAAAGAGGCAGGGGTGGAGTTTGGGTGGGTAGAAAAGGAGAGATAGACGACATGTCTATCCTCCCTGGACTGACCTGAGGAGGGGGAGGGGGAGTTGAAATGGTTCGTATATGTACACCTACGCTCAGTTCGCAACAAACAGCTGTATCTCCCTGTCACGAACCATTTCAACTCCCCCTCCTCAGACGATATGTCCATCCTGGGCCTCTTGTAGTGCCACAACGATGCTACCCGAAGGTTGCAGGAACAGCACCTCATTTTGCTTGGGAACCCTGCAGCCCAATAGTGTCAGTGTGGACTTCACAAGCTTCAAAATCTCCCCTCCCCCGACCACATCCCAAAACTAGCCCAGCTTGTCCCTGCCTCCCTAACCCGTCCTTCCTCCCGCCTCAAGCCCCACCCCCATCTACCTCCCAGCCTCATCCCATCCCCCCCCGGACTGACCTATCCCCCCCACTAACTCCACACCTACACTCACCTTTACTGGCTCCACCCCCATCTCTTCACCTATCTGCTCTTCTTCTCTCCCCCCAACCCATTTATTTCAGAATCCCCTTCCCCTCCCCCCATTGCTGAAGGGTCTAGACCTGAAACGTCAGCTTTCCTGCTCCTCTGATGCTGCTTGGCCTGCTCTGTTTATCCAGTCTACATCTTGTTATCTTCAATGAAATGCACTTTTTTTGTCTTGAACTTTGACTAGCTTGTATCCACATAGTAAGGGCGGAGTTTATTGTACTTTCTAGTAAAACTTTTGACTTAATTTGTTTGGGGTTTTCATAGGTGGTGTTCCCTTGGCCTAGGTTTAGCTACTCAAACACAAACATTCCAATCAATTAGCAGGACTTGGATATAACCCTAGAGTGATTAACAAAAGTTTCATAATTTGTGATTTTTGTTTGTTACGTTTTTCAGGGTTTGAAGATCTTCAAATGCAGGGACTAACCTGCATTGCTGAAACTCTATTTGAAACTCCTCTTAAATATCCTCTTGCCTTATTGTTTTTCTAAGAACAATCCTAAACAACCTTGACACTACACAATTATTGTATCATTTGGACTTGGTGATATGTAATGAAGTAGGTTTCACAGAATCACATTAGTTATGGCACCAGAGGCCATTCATCTCATCATTCCTGTATCAGTTCTGTTACCAATCTCCTTCCTTTTCCATATCTATCTAAATAATCATTCAATGCCCTTTTAATTCAGGCATTCAATTCTCCTCCACCACATTTCTAGGCAGTGCATTCAATAACTCAACATGTAGATAAGGTTTTTTTTCTTAGATCACCCTTGCTTCATTTGTACATCACTTTAATAAAACGATGTCAGAGTAAAAGAACCCCCAAGAAAACAGTGACCAACTCAAGGTATAATTTAGCAGTTTGAGAGGGAGGAATCAATTGTGCTAAACTTAAATAAGGGTAATTACAAAGGAATGAAGTAACAGCTAGCTGTAGTGGACTCGGAAAGGAGTTTAACAGTAGCGACAGTAAGGAACAAAGGGGGACATTTAAGAAAACATGTTATGGCTCACAACAAAGATATATACGAGTGAGGAAGAAGGATTTTAGGAAGGGGTAACCAGTCATAGGCAACCAAAGACATTAAGAACATCAAACTGGAGAAAAAAAAACTGTACAATGTGGCAAAGATTAGTGGTAAGCCAGAGGATTGGGAAAGTTTTCAATAAAACAAAAAAAAAAGGAAGGACATAATTTTGAGGACAAAGTTGTATGTAATACCAATACGGACAGCAACAGCTTCTTTAAATATATAAAAAGTAAGAGAGCCAAAGTGAACATAGGCCCCTTAGAGGAAAAAAAAGCACAGAAAATAATATTGGGAACTAGGAAATGGCCAAGGCGTTGAATAAATACTTTGCATCAGTCTTCACAGTAAAACCACCAACAGTATTCCAAAATTACTACATAATTAAGGGGCAAAAGGAGAACAGTAAATAAGTAAACTTATAACTAAGAAAAAAGTGCTAGGGAAACTCAAAGGGCTAAAGACAAGTCCCTAGACATGGTGAGATACATCCTTTAATACCCTAGAATGCAACTCCAGAGACAGTGGATGCCCTGCTAGTAATACTCCAAGAATCCTTAGATTCTCTGAAAAGCCCCACAGGATTGGTAAACTGCCAAATGCAACACTTATTTACAAATGGAGCATACAAACAAGGAATAAGCATAGGCCTTTTGGCCCTTTGAGCCTACTCCATCATTCAATAAAGTCATGGGTGATCCGTTTTTAACGTCAACTCTATACTCCAGTACGTCCCCAAAAATCTTTCGTGCCCTTGATAATCAAGAATCTACCTCCATCTTAAAAATAATTGAAGATCTGAACCCACTATCTTTTGAGAAAGGGAATTCCAAAGACACTCAACCCTCAGGAAAAAATTGTTTCATTTGTTTTACAAAAGACAACAAGAACAGTAAGTCTATGCCAATTAGCTTAACATCATTATTGGTAAAAAGTTAAGAGTGTTATAAAGGAGGTAACAGGCCATTTAGAAATACATAATATGGTCAAAGAGAGTCAGCATTGTTTCACTAAGGGGAAAATAATGCCTGAAAAATTTACTAGAATTGAGGAATTAAAACACAGGATAAATAAAAGGGAGAAGCAGTGGAGGTAATATATTTCTGTTTTCAGAAGGCTACATGATAAGACAAGACCTCATGGTGTTGGAAGTATATTAGCATAGATGGAAGATTGGTAAACTAACAGAAGACAGTTGGGGTAAGTGGGGCACTAAGGTTTTGGAGTAGATCTGTAGCTCGGGTTGTGGGTGTTGAGGTTGGTTGGCTCGCCGAGCTGGTTTGTTGTTCTGCAGACGTTTCATTACTCTGCTTGGTAACATCCTCAGTGCAGCCTCTGATGAAGCGTCGGTGTGTTTTCCCATCTGGCTTTTAAACTCTGGGGTCCGTTGCGATGGATTGCCTCACTTCCGGGTTTCCTCCGTAGTGGAATGTATACGGGGTCGAGTTGAATGTGTTTATTAATAGCCTGCTTTGTGGAGTGCCATGCTTCGAGGAATTCTCGTGCTTGTCTCTCCCTAGCCTGTCCCAGGATCTTGGTGTTGTCCCAGTCGAAGTCGTGGTTCTCCTTGTCCATGTGGATCGAGATGAGGGAGTATTGGTCGTGTCTTTTTGTAGCCAGTTGGTGTTCATGTACTCTTGTTGTTAGTTTCCTTCCTGTTTGTCCGATGTAGTGTTTCTCGCAGTCTCTGCAGGGGATCTTGTAGATGACGTTGGTCCTGTCCATGGCGGGGAGTGGGTCTTTAGTTTGGGTGAGCACTTGTCGTAGGGTTGATGTGGGTTTGTGTGCCACTTTGATGCCCAGCGGTCGTAGAAGTCTTGTGGTGAGTTCTGACGTGTTCCTGATGGAGGGTAGTGTAATGAGTGTGTCGGGGCGTGTAGAATCTTTCTGATGCTGTTCCTGTAGGCATCTCCTGACCCAGTTCTTTGGATATCCATTATCCTTGAACACTTGGAAGAGGTATTCCTTCTCCTCTT